TGCTCAAATATCTGTATGTCTGTCTATCTGTTCGAGCGTCCTCTTGTGTCAGTTATGGCCCTTATGGGTATTTGCGATCACAATTTGGCTTTTAGATTAATTCGGTATACCCTCGACCTATAGGATGAATCATTGATTATGGGAGGCAAAATGCTGCTTTTGGAGTAAGAAACAAACATGAAGATAACAGACATCTTCACAAATCTTCTAGTAAGAGCTTGTCCCTTTCTGTCTGTTTTTAATCCCGTCCATATCTATTATTTTTGGAAAGATTTTAAAATAAATTGCATTAATGTGTGGCACATTGATACAATGTCATAAGAAAGACCCAGGTGTGAAGCTCAACTCCCCAAGTTAGACTTGAAAGTGCTTGAATAAAGATGTGCATTTTAGTATTCTGTCATTTAGAGATGAAATTTAAAATAGTTAAGCATAAATATACGGCCTATAACGGATTGGGAAATGATATACTTTATATTATTACCTAATCTTCAAACAGGGATACCATGAAAATTGTTTGTTTATAACTTTATTGCTTATGTCAATGTCAATTGCGCAAGAACATGTACTGAGACGTGTAATGCTTGAGAGCCAATTCAACAGTCCAAAGATCAGGATCATGTCTATCAAGAAAGGCAATTTTTTAAAAGTTCATAACTGGGGAACCCGGTCAACAATTTTTCATGCACGACCTGATATTTAAAAAAAGTCTTAGTATTTCCAAAATAGGAATTGCCATCCAGGCTAGCATTCGAAAAAAATTTTTTTTTCAAGAAATAGACGTCTTTCCTGAATAATAGAGTTAAAGTTTCTTCTTGTAAGAGAAATATTCCATATGGTGTTTATCCCATAGAAGCCTCTACATACTAGTGGCGAGCTTCGTGCATGAGGATAGTATTTCATTTGCTTATATGTACCCGACAAGAACATGGTCGGTGAGGCCCCTGTGTTATGACTTTTTTCGTCTATTTTGTTATCATGTGATATTAAATTATCTGTTTTGATTGGCCTAGAGCAGGCGGAGTTCGGGTAAAATTATTTAAATCTTGTTAATTGTATATGCCGCCGTCCTGGAACGAAAATAACTTTGCGCACATGTAAAACCCTGATGATGATGTAAATCAAAGACCAAAATCATACTTTCCTTTCGAACAAAGTATTTCCTTAAAGTCTCTAAAAGGTCTGGTTAACGATTTTATCATTCATGGATGAATTAAAAATCATTTTGGGATAAATATGGCGCCTCTTTATAAGACGACATGTAGCGGACAAAAGTTCCAAGGTCACATTTGTATTTCAAAAGTCATGATATGAGAGTGCATTTGTGGCCATGTCCAGTCAATATATGTGTTATTCAGCGGGAGCTAAGAATAAATACGTGGTACTTTGAAAAAATATGTCTTGAGTGAGAAAAGAATTATCGCATAAAGTAAGATTTCAGACATTAAAGGTCATATTTCATTTCATATAAATATTTTGAAGGTCATGTCCGGTCATGAATTCTGTCATTAAATAGATGGATGGATATTGGCGTAACTAGGCATAAATTTGTGGCACATTAGGACTACTTGTAATGCCTAAACACTAGGTTGATAGCTAGATTGGTCAGTTTAGAACATTGATTGTTGTGTCTATATCTTTGTCATTTATTCATGGATGCTTTTTAAAATAATAAGAAGTACTGGTGATATAAATAAATGCTTCTTAATGTTTCTAATGTTTGTAAAACTTGTAAGACTACAGTGACCATGCCTTCAATGTAAAAAATGGGAAAGAAGATTAACAAAGAAATGTGGCATTCAATAAACGCAGCCCCAACACGACCCAGCAACAAAGGTAATGGATCCTTAACTGAGCCGAGCTTCGGAGACATTTCAAGTGGCACGCCCTTGTTTATCTTTGTTTTACATAATTGTCGGGTTAGTCCAAAAATAGTTGGTACAAATTTTAGTGACTAACATTACACTAAGAAATACCAAAGTAATTTTATGGGGTGATAGTTGAAAAAATATGAGATAAAATGATATTAAAAATATGTTATATCATAATGGAATAGGATACTCTTCAATTTCTTAAAAGATAGCCAAGAACAAAATAAGTATGAAGATTTGAATATATCTTAGTTACTTGAATGATTTTAAAACATGAGATTGAATAAGGTGCAGCGTCCTTGGTCCCTGCAAAGTGGCATGCTTATAATGTAGACGTTGATATTAACTAAGACAATAAATAAATACCAATGAATTAAGACAAAACGCAAAAAAAATCGTATCTTCAGTTAAGTAAATAAAATTTAAAGACATAGGCTTCGACGGCATATATTTTACATAATTTAGCAGCAAAAAATCAAAATGCTCTATCAAGTCATTCTGTGTTAATAAAAAAGTGTAAAAAGCAGTGAATCGTCAATATATTAATTGCAGAATTGGTATCAATTAACTGTCTAATCTTCTATGCATGTACTATCATCAAATACCCCCGGTAGACCTATAGTGTTTTACTCTATATTATTCATTAACCGTAAGACAGTGCAAGCTCGTAGACTGTTTATGGTTCATGTTTGCGAGACTTTTTTCAAGGGGAAAGATAATAAAGATTAAAATGACTTTACCATTTATTTGAGTTTATTTCAATTAATAAATAGATGATCTGTTTTTAACCATGTCTAGGCATGTTTAAAGTTTGATTGATAAATACGACCCTTTATAAAGTAGTTATATGAATACAACAATAAAAAGTATCGTATAAAATCTGCGGATTTTTCTAAATTCCACATCTCACAATTTCCCCCTTTGTTATATGAATTTTGCGTAGGCCGGTGCTAGGGTGCTTGGACGGTACTTTGCAATTTCCAGTAACGTCCATGTACAGGCTCAATCAAATCGAGCCTAAAACGTTTTCAATTTTGCCGTTTTGATCGCTGTTTTGGGAATCTGTTGTTGTTTTTTTCTATTTGAAATCGGGTCGTACAAAAGATATTGTTGCAAAGACATGCGGGCTCAAAGACATAGTCGCTGACCTGTGAAAATGACAGGCAATTTTTAAAATATTCACATACTGACCTTGACTCTTGGCATTTAAATTATAAAATGATCTTGTGTCCATAAAGGTTTTACACAAATGCTATTCTATCAAAATAAAGATTACTTAAACCTCTAATTGTAAATTAAAATGATTGTGCAGGTTTTATGTAAGGCATTTTGGATCTCAGATACCTGGTATAGATTAATTGTCCAAAACAAATGACCTGTAATAGTTTGAAGTAATGATTAAATTAAAGTGTGCAATATACGTACACAGTGTGTACAATTCGACATGACATTACTTATATTTATTAAAAAGGTGTCCATTTTGAAATCAAAGATGGCCGGCATAGCAGTCAATGTGTAAAGCATGTATAATTATCAGCCAATCATTCCTTAAAGTAATTTCAACTTAATTCCATGTAGATTATCGGAAATACGATACGATATGATATGTACCAGAAAAAATAATTTTTTAAGTAGATGGTAAAGGACAATGGCGGCCATTTTGATTTGACCTTTTGAAGGTCAAGGACTTCAAGTACAGCCGTGGTAGAGCAAAAAATGGATTCAGCGTACCCGAATTATGTAAAAACGATTGACTACCTGCTTGTACTAAAAAATGCCGTAAGACTCTTAACGGAGGGTCTTTTCTGAAAATCAAACCCGTCTATAATTAATAACATTATACAAAGTTACATGATAAATATGTAAAGAATAGTAAAGTCATTTGAAAGAAGTTCAAAAACATTTGGAGTCATTAAACTTGAAAAATAAGCTTAGGCATTATTGCCTCTGTAAAGTTAGTTGACTCTTACTGTATATGCTTTTCCTACGTATGTACTTTAATTTTTCTAATGTACTTAAAACTATAATGACACGCTTATATTCTGCAATTCGACCCCAATCAACAGTCTTTCATATTTGATCGTCTATAATGTTTCGCTGTTATGAAATATGTTTCTCAGGTCGTAATATAAAACACAATTTAATACAAAATGATATATCTTTAAATGTATCGCTTGAAATAAATTCAAGCATTTACTGGAGTGTTCTTTTCCATGTGCCACTTTCAATGAAGACTTATGTGATGAACACAATTTAAAGAAATAGCTAAAATCTGTTGTGAAAAAAATCTTTATTGGTTGAAAATATTTTTATCATACAAAGTTTTAAGGAAATTATATAATTTACCAGGCCAGATTTTAAAAAAAATCAAATGTAAAGTCACCCAAACAAAACGAAAAAGTCACACCAAAGAAAATTCTTTTCACTTTTGATTATTTTTTCTCAACTTGATTCATTTTGGTTGAAAAGTATAATTTCAAGGAAATGGAAGACCTTTCTTACAAATCTAAATGAGCATTGCTGCTCAAATTGTCTGTCTTGATTATTTCTACATCAAATTTGAACATAGTCATTCTTGTTACAACTCCATGAAACTGAGATATCTTTAAGAAACAAATACTTACTACCACATGGTCAAATGTTTGATTTGATAGAGTAAGAAAACCTTTTGAATTATTGGTTGAAGTGTCTCAAAAACTAGATCAAATTGTTAAATCAAAGAAAATCTCTTAACAAACTTAATACCGCGTTTTAACGTCAAATTGTACAATAGTTATATTAAACATTTAATTAATTATACATTTTCTTTTATTTTTCGTCGTCAATAACTTTCATTGGCTGTAGAATAGTAATTGCCTATAGAACATGCGATTTGAATGAGCATTTTTGATTTATGTATATATGTGATGTGTTTTATTGTTGCGTAATTAAAAAGTAGAAATCATCGCATGTCCGCTGTATATAATGAAAAACAAAACAAACCGGACATTGTATTTTTTGTAGAATGCTATTCTGTAGAGAACCCTGGGAATTTAATGAATATTAATAGCATGTTAAGTTTAGTTTTTGTATCTCAACCTAAGCAGTATTTACCGCTTTCTCGTTAATTATAAGTTTATTGTCTTACAGTCATATGTTTGTCACAAAGGAGGATTCAAACACGAACACTTGAGTAAGGCTGATTATTTTAGTTGCAACGGGTAGGTACCTATACTGCAAGGTACAGTTTATATCATAAATGCACAACAAAATTAAACCATTTAATTGTCTATGCTAGGAACAGTTTATAGTACATTTGTTGACACGTTGACAAAAAAAGAAAATGAAAAATGATAAGTTTTTGCCATTGAAATTATCAAAATGCACCAAATAATTTAAAAATTGAATCCCTTCGGACAAAAGATAATTATGTTATCGTCTTTGATTGTACTTAAAGTATTTGACCTGTCGTCATTAGTACGTGATTTGTTTGTATTACTGCTAAATATTGGCCAACTGATTTTTTTCAAAGTGAACTACTGCGCAATGTAAAGGAATGTACTGGACATAATTCTAATCAGATTTATTCCGGAAAAGCATGAAATTTGATAATAACAACGAGAGGTCTTTAGCATTACAGTATCAACAATTTCAAATTTTAATTTACTGCATATGTTCAGCGTTTAACAAAAAAAAAAGAATAAAGACAAAGATTACGATTAACATTCAAATTGCATATAATATTCTTTTATTGGTTTTTAAACCGTTGGAGTATACATCTGAATAAGAATTTTCAAATCGATTAAACGATTTTCAACAACACGAGATCCAGTTTTTGATTATTATTGAGTAGAATAATAATTATTTAGTAGAAATAATATTGAAAGTGTTTTCTTCTTAAAAAGATCTTGTAAACATAAATACAAAACATAACAATAACGTTTAAGTATGATAAGCCGTCGTATATGCATGTATCTTAACAGGGAGGACATGAAAACAAAGCAAAAAGAAGAGCATGAAAAGAACTTGAAAGACAAGGATTTACAAATAGCAGCTGAAAAAACAAAAGAGGAAGAAACAAGAGCGAAAGCTGAAAGAGATCTGGAAGAGCAACGCAGAAAAGAAGAACAGGATGAAAGAGAAAAAGAGCTTCAAGATCGTAGGGAACAATGCGAAAGGTAGGAAACCTATACGACAAGGTACAAATTATATCATAAATGCTAAAAAAACTAAATTATTGCTTACGAACAGAAAATCTTACATTTGTTGACACGTTGACAAAACGGAAAAGTATGAAATGACAAGTTGTTGCAGATAAAATTAACAAAATGCATCACAAAATTTCAAAATTGATCCCTTCGGACAAAAGATAATTATGTTATCGTCTTTGATTGTACTTAAAGTCTGTGACCTGTCGTCATTAGTACGTGATGTGTTTGTATTACTGCTTAATATTGGCCAACTGATTTTTTTCAAAGTGAACTACTGCGCAATGTAAAGGAATGTACTGGACATAATTCTAATTAGATTTATTACGGAAAAGCATGACATTTGATAATAACAACGAGAAGTCTTTAGCATTACAGTATCGACAATTTCAAATTTTAATTTACGACATAATTATGTTCAGCGTTTAACAAAAAAAGATTAAAATAAAGACAAAGATTACGAAGTTGTTATCTTTTAAAACGATATTGTAAACATAAATACAAAACATTTCAATAACGTTTAAGTATGATAAACCGTCGTATATGCATGTGTCTTAATAGGGAAGATATGAAAACAAAGCGGGATCAAGAGCATGAAAAGTACTTGAAAGACAAGGATTTACAAGTAGCAGCTGAAAAAATAAAATTAGCAAGAGCTGAAAGAGATCTGGTAGAGCAATGGCGACAAGCAAAACAGGATGACAACGATAAGATTTTACGAATCAAGGAGTTGGAGCTTCAAACTGGTAGGGAACAATGCATCAGGTAGGAAACCTATACGGCAAGGTACAATTTATATCATAAATGCTCAAAATACTAAATCATTTTTACGAACAGATTATCTTACATTTGTTGACACGTTGACAAAACGGGAAAGTATAAAATGACAAGTTGTTGCAGATGAAATTAACAAAATGCACCACAACATTTTAAAATTCATCCCTTCGGACAAAAGATAATTATGTTATCGTCTTTGTTTGTTCTAAACGTCTGTGACTATCGTTATCAGTACGTGATATGTTTGTATTACTACTACAAATTGGCCAGTTGAATTTTTAATGAAACGGGGAATAGCAAGTGAACTAAATGCGAAATGTAAAGGAATTTACTGAATATAATTCTACTTAATTTCATTCCGGAAAAAAAGCATAAATTTTTATCATCAGCATAATAGTATCAACGATTACACACATTTATTTACAATATATGTCCAGCTTTGAACAACAAAAAATCAGTATAAAGAAGAAAGGTTATGATGAACATTCAAATTTCATATTAAATTATTTTATTCGTTTTTTTAAACCGCTTTGAGTATACATCTGATATTTTTTAATGATTAAACGATTTTTAACAACACGGGATTCAGTTTTTTTATCATTTTGTAGAATATTATTATTGAGTAGAAAAAATATTGTTTTGCAATAAGATCAAAAATAAAATAAAAATCTTTTAAAAAGATATAGTAAAAATATATCGTTAAATATTAAACATTTCAATAACTATTAAGTATAATATTACTGAAGACTGAAAACCAGTCGTATATACATTTATCTTAACAGGGATGACATGAAAACAAAGCGGGATGAAGAGCATGAAAAGTACTTAAAGTACTTGAAAGACAAGGATTTAGAAATAGCAGCCGAAAAAAGAAAAACGGAAGAAAAAAGAGCAAAAGCTGAAATAGATCTGGTAGAGCAACGCAGACAAGCAACACTTGATATCAACGATAAGATTTTAAAAATCAAGGAGAAAGAGCTTCAAGTTGGTATGCAACAAAAGATAAATGAAGAAAGAAGGTCTAGTAACGAAAGACAAGCCATGAAAATGAAACACGATCACGAAATCAAATTGAAAAAGCTTGAAATGGAACAACAAGCCAAATCTGCTAAATTGGAGGAGAGAAAGATTAGAGTTGAGGAAAACAAAGCAAATAATATGAAAGATCTGCTTGCCATCTTAAAACACAAAAACCAAAGGTGATAAACATACTTTGTAATATTCCGGTAGTCTATATGATTATGCCATGATATGACCTTTCTCACTCTCAATCAGCTTAATTGAAATATGTCGTTGCATTGACGAAGTGTATTAGCAATTATTCAAAATATAGTACGTGTACCGAACGACAGCTTTAAAGTATTAACTGCATTGCCATTTATTTCAAAACTGATTTCCAATTTATAAAAAAATGTTATTAATACAGTAATACACTAAAGACTTTTCATTGGAAGACTGCTCTATGTGGGATTTACTATAACAAACTTAATTCATCATGAAACTGTGCTTTTTACTTTTATACCTTTGACACAGACCACATAATAAAATCATGGTATTTTAATGTTGCTGCTGTTGAATATTTGTTCCCTCTTTCCAGCACTGAGGTACAGCAAGAAGCCTGTATCACGGTGCATATCCATATCGGTACCCTCTTTGCGAAATCTGCTCAAACGGTACCCTCTTTGAACATGCACAGGTCATTCTCTGCTAAAAACAAACCAGCGATGGATAACAATCCAGTAAAATTTCATTGTAATAAGGAAAGGAGGTATGTCATGTAGAAAAGATGTATACCACGGAACACAAGAATGTTTTATTTATGTGCTGATTTGTCATGTGCCCGATTTTCATGTACTGCAACTTCACAATAAGCTACAAAAAATCAACATGTCTTTCCTCGCCCATCACCTCGACATATTTTTCGGGCTAAAATGAACCTGTGGCTGGATTATATATGCATCATACATATTTAATATGTTCATATACATATCATCTTCGGACAAATGGCAGTATATTGTCAAAAATAAATGAAAAATTCATAAAAACACCCTACTTTCGGTTTTGCAGCGGCATGGGCTACCTCTCTTCATTTGAATTTTTATATCACAGGTACCCTCTCATTTTTTTACACATATGTACCCTCAAAACACGACATTTGCTTTTATTTGCGTTAATCGCCGAGTATGTAATATTTCTTACTTTTATGTAAATATTACATACTCGGCGATTAACGCAAATAAAAGCATATGTCGTGCTTTGAGGGTACATATGTGTTAAAAAATGAGAGGGTACCTGTGATATAAAAAATCAAATGAATAGGCTCAATCAATTTTACCATGAAAGACGTTAAAAAGGTTCTTTATTTCTCTCTAATAATATTTCTTACTTTTATGTAAATATTACATACTCGGCGATTATAAAACAAGTGTGTGTTTGTTTGTGTGTATATATGCGTGCGTGTGCATGAAACCGCGTGCGTGCGTGTGTGTGCGTTCGTGCGTGTGTCTGTGTGTGTAGGCGCGTTATTTTTCCAAATAATTATCTAAATTTAACTATCGGGAAACATATTCAAATTAGTTATTACCAATACAGATATGTTTGAAGGTGCAGATTACGCATTTTGTTTTCTGTTATACAGTTCTTTATAACTTACAAGTAATTAGTAGTATTTCTGAACATCTGCCCGAAAGCTTTGAATACATTTTTACCTCCGAAAAATTGACAATCTGGGATTGTCTAGTAAAATTATGCCTTAAAATATAATTCAATTAAGCATTTTTAAATGCTTGATAACAGTCCTGCAAATAATTGCAAGCTTAAGAATTGTTTCAGATTTTCAAGTATTTTGCTTCTCATGAGTATTAGCCATATTCGTTTACTTTAAGTTTGACGTTTTGGTAGTTGATGGTTTTATAATATGATGCCAGATTGTACGAACTGTTCTACTCCTATTTACGGAATATGTATAATACACGGATTTGTATTTATTTTGCGAATAATACGAAAGAAGTGTATTAATTGTCGCCTTCGATTTTTAACCGCTCTCACCCTCCAGTTTTCAGCACTTAAGTACACCATTAGAGCCTATGTAAAACGTATGAGAAAAAAAACAATGATGCATGTAAATTTAAAATGAGATTTATTGTGCATAATCAAATGTTATCTGCATATAATATTTATGTTATGTTATTTATTTTACAGTACTAACCATGAGTCCACATTATACGAGAGATCGCAGATATCGCTACTTTCTGTTCGACAGTATGTCTGATTTTGATTTTTTGTCATATTTTGTCAACCTTTTTCTGGAAAAAATGTGAATGTCAATGTTTTTGTTAGATGATTTGCATAAAAATCTTGGTAAACTGTTATGGATTCAAAAAATATGGTTCTGTACATTTGACATTTTAAAAAATGTTTTTTTTTCCTTTCAGGAACCTTGATGAGTGGATGTAAGTACAGATAATGACGAAGTTCCATCGGCGATCAACAGATATTTGTTAACTAGAACAGAATAATTCGGAAGATTTGTATCAAAGGTATATGACACTAACATATAAAAAAGTATTTAAATGTTAAGTAGCAAAAAAGTGTAAATATTTAAACATGGACATTTCTAAGATGAACTGATAAGGTATTGCCTGCAATAGCAGAATATCTATTATTTACTCTCTAAAAGGACTTGTGTGCAACAGAATGTATGTATGTTTAGTATAACAAGCTATTTTTGGACGAATTGTGGTTTCTTATTATCTTTTAGATATTTCTGAGAATAAAAACCCACTTTGCTAAAAGTTTAAACAAAGTGATATTTCTATTTTTCACACTTATAAAATGTAATCAATGATCTTTAAGATTTGGCCCGCTTATTGTTGAATTATAAGCCGTAGTTGGCTTTTAGACACGATTCTATTTCCCGAGTTCAAACAATACGTAACAAATGCATATTTTACTTGGCCCATACTCGTTATCATTTTCCGAATCCAAAACGTCAATAATTAAAATCCAAATTGTTCTTTATCTTGCCTCACTATCAGTTTGTGAGTCCAAAATGTTCATACCAAACCCATATTGTATTCGATGTAATTTGTCTTTAACATAATACAAAAAAAACTTTTATTTTTATTGTTTTCCATTGGTAATGTTGTTGTTTTTTCTCACAAAGACTCGGATGGTGTGAAAACATTTCATTATATATTGTTGAGTACAAATTGTACTGTATTGCGATAAAGTGGTTGTGGCGAATAAGGTACTCAAAAAGCAATGCACAATAACCTTATATTTTATATTTATGATAAAGAGAAATAAAAAAATCCTTAGAACGGCATAAATGGTTAAATTGATTGAGTCTATTCATGGATGGTACTGTAAAATGAATAAACCGTCAGTGCCCCCTAGCACCGGCTTAAGAAGAATTCAACATCTACGATGAAATGTTCAATCGGTTCAATACAAGAAAATCAAAATATAATACATTTGAAATTGTTTTCAATGCTTTGCTCATTAATTCATAATGCAATTATTTCAATCGATTTATTATTTTCACCCGACACATCGCTAATTCGTACAGTTGGTGCAGCCGGTATTTTTTGTGTTAAGTTGCAATCAAAATTACGGCGCAAAATATCCAAGGAGTGTACATGGTTAAAATGCCTTTTTACTTAATGTTTTAAACAGTTTACTTTATTACTTATTAACACATCAACATTATAAAGAATCATCAACAAAACCGTCCATAAACAGGCTCAATCAAACCGAGAACATTATGGATTCTGTTTTATGTATTTTGTTAAACACATTTAACCAAGTTCTCACACATAATCAAAACTATAATCAGATAAAAAAATTAGTTCAAATTTGGCAACCTTTTTCTTTCCCGGTAAACAATTATTGCATTTTAGTATTTTCTACAAAGTAATTGATAACTATTCTTCGTTTACTTTTTTAATTACTTATTTATGCCCATATTTCAATTCAGACGCTTACCAACAAATGGATCTTATAACTAATTCAAATCGCTTTTAATGACGTTTGAAACAATTGATAGGCAAAACAATTCAGGCTTCCAACGCTTACCAAAAAGAAATTCCTGGTGTACATTAAATTACTTGGATGTTTAATTGAAAATCCTTCCTTAAATAATTTAAATTTTATGTTTACTACCGATGTAAAAATTGTTGCCTTATGAATCACCATTATTTCAAAACTTCGCAGCATTTGTTATTAAACCCATAATTGACAATAAAAGTTTAAAAAAAAATCATTTAATGATTATTATAGAAGGTGTTTTGTCGACCACCTAAAATTATTATTTTAAATTGATATTGTAAACAACAACACATACAAGATCTTAATATCTTTGTTGATGTTTGGAAGCGAATGAGAAATGTTAAACCAACTTTAAAAAGGTATAAAGTAGTATGTTTATATCTTGCACATGAATATATTATTGTTAACATGTCAAAATTATAAATACTTGAGGTTCTTTAATATGTAATACTTAAATAGAAACTCGAAGGTTTTTTATATGTTATAGGAGTATGTGTATCAAATTCTAACGCTTTGTCGTGTTTGCTTTGATTATTGTTTGCTTGTTTGTAATTTTTTCTGACATATTTGAAATCGTATGATACCTAAATCTGATATGATAGCTTATAGAATTTTTTGAAATATATTTACAATAGTCAAACATTTAATCAAAGATAAAGTTACATTTTGTTTTCAATCAATAGAGTTGTCAATATTAATAAGCCTTCAGAAACTCTTCTATCAAGAAATTTACTTTAATAGGACATCTCAATATACGTATTAATTTCCCCTTATGCTAAATATGTTTGTATATACATTTAACTATATAGCTTTTTATCGGCATAGTTTTGTTATTTGCTTATTTCTTGATATCATAATCTAGAGGGTTTAAATATATATATTATTGTTTAAGCACGAATGATATGCGCTTGTTATTATTTTGTATATATTCTAATTTTATGTGATCTTTTAACCATTCAGCCCATCGCTCTTTACACTTGTAAAATTATAATACAAATTAAAACAACATAATATTTAATAACACATCATGCTATCTATAAAAATATTAAGGCATATAGCAACTGAAATACAAGATTCAAATGCTGTTTAAATTAAAAAGAGCTTATCAATAATTGATTTTCATTTTATACCAAACATTAACAACTAAACCGTATTGATAATAATTCTATTAA